CTTATAGTTTTTTTTATATCTCCCCAGTATGCTGCTTTTTGGAAAACATGAGAAAAACTGATCTGAAACAATCAACATAGCTTTTCATTTCTTTTTCTTGTCTGGGAAACTACTTGGTTTGTGTTGTTTTTCCTTTCAGGCATTGGCATATGTAAACTTGCTGTGAATGAAGTGTGACTTAACCCATTTATTAATACAAGTATTTTGATATGAATGTCAGTGTCTTATTGTGCCTAATTTTTGAGGCTGAAGAGGGCTACTTTGATTAGGCATGCTGATTATAAATTAGTTATTTTAACAACAGAGGCCATAATTTTCATTCTCTAACTAATTGTTGTAGTCAGTTGTGGAAAACTAAACTTTGCTTGTTGAATAGAACTGCTGCTTCTAAATTGAAAATTCCAGATGATGGGGGAGTTTGTGGTGCTCTTCAGTAATTGGCTGAATTGTTTAATTTCATACTCATTCCTGTTTCAAACTAAGACACTTCATCTTTTAGATATTGTATCTTGTAACATTTTATTTTAAATTTAATTAAGGATCCTATAGTATCAGCTCTAAATGTTGAAATAATGCACTTTCATAAGTTCTGTGGGTATTTGTTTTGGGATATTTTTAATTTTTGGAAGTGGCAAACTGCTGCTCAATAGAGAAAGGTTAGCAAATGCCTCTGTGTTTATCTTACCCCACAGATATTACAATTGCATCAAACAAAAGGTATGTAGTCAAATTAATGTCTTTGAGGATGCCAGCTGTAGCCTGTAAGCATTAAAAGATTATTAGACCTAGCTAGTGATCTCTGTGCTATTGTGGTCTCTGTAATCTTTCTTGTCAGAAACAAGAGCTTTATTGTAATAATAAATTACAACTCTGCAAGAGCACTGCTCATATTTACCAAGTATCTTGCTGATGCAGTGCAGTGAAAATACATAAATGATGTCTGCCCTTTAAAAATGTTACAGCCAAGTATTTGAGGAGGAGAATGAAAAAGTCTGAGAAACTATTCAAGTTTTAATGGAAATTGTGTGGGTTTGGGATTTGTTTATTTGTTTGTTTTGAGATCTGTCTTCAGAGGAATCCTCTTTTTCCATATGTTTGATCTGCTGAAAAGCAGTAGTAGCTGCATTTTATTCAAAGAAAACATCTCTACCGTGTCTTAACCATAAACACTTGCAAGTATCTGTAAAAGCCGTGACACTTTTATTGTGCTGCTTTGGGGGAATTTGTGAGTTTGGATTTTTTATTTCATGAGATCATTTCATTTATTGCCACAGCCCTTGGAGCAAGCTATGTACTATATCACTGAGTACCTCTGAGATCAGAGAGAACAGATTGTTTAACTCCTGTCTGGTGCTAATATTCAAATGAGAACTCTTTAAAGAAATTTTGTTTAGAATAAATTCACCTGCAAGGATGTGTTTAGTGGAAAGGTATTTTTTCAAGGAATGAACAAACATTTTGGATGTTGGATTTTAACACTTCTTAAATCTGGTAGAGAGCACACAAATTAAAGTGAACAGTTGAAGAAGAGTACATTTGATTTGGAAGGCAAAATATGTGCTGTCCAAAACTAAAAGGTCATTGTCTCCATACAGAGGGCCTTCAAGAGCAGTGAAAATGCTGTGTGTAAAAGATCTTCATTACATCTATGTGTTTTTTTAAGCTGGCTAAAGCAAAGAGCAGTAAGGCTAGAAGCCTTTCATAGCCTGTGTGAGAGCTGCTCAGTTAGTGCATGAAATATTCAGCTGCAAGGTCATGGCCCTGCCAGTCTTGACTTCAGGAGGGATCATACTCAGGCTAGCATTTAAAACTGGGCAAGTTGACATGGGATAGTGGGAATGCTGAGTGGAGTGGATTGGGGCCAGTACTGTTTAGTGTCTTCATTCATAACTTGGACAGTAGGACATAGTGTTCCCTCAGCAAGCCTGTGGGTGATGTAAAACTTGGATTTGGAGTTGCTACACCTGTTAGTTCTGCAGCCATTTAGAGGGGAGAAAAGGGTCAATAGGAACATTAGTACAGCAAGGACAAATGCAAACTCCTGCATCAGAGAGGGGTAGCCCCATGCACCAGTACAGGCTGTGGGCTGAGCAGCTGGAAATCACTTTACAGGAAAAACCCTGAGGGTCCTGGTGGAGGCTTAAATTGAAATGCGGCATTGAGGCTAAGAAGCCCAACAGCATCCTGGGCTGCATTAGGTAGGAAGAGCCTCACAAGGAGGCCTGGATGGTGATCATCTCTACTCTCAGTGGGAGCAGTCTGAAGTGTTGTCCCTTGTGCTGGGCTCCTGAATACAAAATTGACCTTGGCATGTTGCAGAGAGTTCCAGTGGAGGACCACCAGGCTGGTCAGGGGCTGGAGGATTTGGTGTATGAGGAGAGGCTGAGAGAGCTGGCATTGTTTAACCTGGGGAAGAGGAGGTTTAGGGTAGATCTTACCAGTGCTTGTAAATACCTCATGTGAGGGAGCCAAGCCCAGTGAAAGGACAAAGAGGCAATGGGCAAGAATTGAAATACGAGAAATCCCATTTAAAGATAAAGGTTTTTACGGTAAGACTGATGGAACAGAGGAACAGTTTCCATCCTTACAGATGTTCAAGACTCAACTTGGCATGGCCCAGCAAGCTGATCTGGTTAGACCTTCTTAGAACAGTTACGCTGTACTAGTTTGTATCTTGAGGTTTCTTCAAAAATTTTTTTTTGTAATTCTAAATTCACTAGGGATGTGATTTACATTTGTATTTCTAAGTGTAAACTAGGAACCTCAAAGTGTATTTTGAGTTAATTTCAATTGTTTATTTATTTTAACAGTTAGACATCTGCTTTGAAAATATTTTAGAGACTCTCTGTATTTTCCTCCTTAACTGTGTGGTGTTTCTCTTACCTGACTCCAGTATTGCATTCTCTCTGAGCACAAATTCTGTAAAGAATTTCCTTGAAGGAGGAGTGGTTTAACATGATGATATTAACCTTCCAGATTTGGAGACTTGTCTGTGGAAGAACAATATGTCTTGATTTGAAAGACACATTCTGCAGCACTCTGCTCATTTACAACTTCCGAATATTTGAAAGAAGATATGGCAGCAGAAAATTTTCAGTAAGTTCAATTTTGAGAGTTTTTTAATAGAAACTTTTCTATACAGTTTAGTCTTGTACTCCTGGATGAATACTGAAGTTTTATTTCTAGTGTGTTGTATAGAAATGTGTTATAGGGTTGTAAAGATAATTTGGTTTTAATAAATTTAAATTTATATTGATAATACCTTGCAGTCAGTGGATTATTCTGATTTCTATTTGCAGTATCACTTGTAAGATCAGACTCATCAAATTTAATTTTGGAAACAATCTTACTCTTGATTCTTCAGTATCTAGACAAGTAGACCTGGAATTACGTTGTGTTAAAGATTGAATTTATCTTAATTTAACTACTATAGAGGTTTTCTTATTTTTTGTTATATTTAGAGGTATATTAAAACCTTATTTTGAAACTGTTGAATTGATTCAAATTAACCTTTTTCTTTCCAGTCTTTTTTACTGGGCGCTTGGATGCTCTCAGCTTTTTTTGATCTTCTCCTTGTAGAAATCACTCAGTATGTATTTGGCATCACCATCAACAGCTTGCCTTCTGGTTTGTAAGTAGCTCCTAATGAATTGGTTCCTTTAGATATAGTTTCAAGGGATTGTGTTCTCAAGATTTTATTTTGAAAAAACCTTTCTTCGTGTAACTCTTCAAATTAATTTAATCCTCTTTTGAACTGAAGTGTAAAGGTTCTTGGCACAACTACCGTAATTTCAAACATTTATTTATTAGCTATGATTTGTGTTTAATTTATAATTTATCCATACAATGTTTAGTTTCCAATCTGTTAGTCTCATTTCCTCTGTTAACATGATTGCAACATGGCTTGCAGCACACAAATTATTGCTGTATTTGTTCAGTCTAAATTGTTTGCATCCATTCAGTTTGTAAAAACTGCAATCAGTTTGGGCTGATTACTGTCTTAAGTCAGAAAGGCAACAGGACTGTAAGTCATGTGCTTTATGTTCACTTGTAAATGAACATGCATTTCATATTGGTATTTTGTATGTTTTTTAAAAACTGAGTGCCAGAGGTTGTTACTCCATTTCGTGCTTGCAGCTGAAGTTCTTACAGCTTTAAGGTGTTCAGTGGTTCAGTTTTGAATAACCTATGTTTGAGATTTCTGCACTTAATAAAATAGATGCATATTACAGTAGGAGCACAGAGCTTGCAGCCCTTTGTGGTTAAACTTCTGGCAGATGAGATCACACACACTTGAGTTTCCATGTGTTGCACACTCTGAGGTAATAATAAAAGCTCTTGGAGTAAGATTTTTAATATTAAACACCATATCAGATGTTTTCTTTTTTATTTCTGCTTTTCCAGAGAATCTGTTGAAAGTATCTAAAGATTGATTTATAAGGGACAAAAAGCATGTGTTTGATATTATAAAAATACATTTTTTGTAGTGTCTGAGTATTCAAAAGAAGTTGAAAGCTTGAGTGAGTAGCTACTGCAGTTACTTGTGTTTGTTACGTAGAGTTTGTTGCTAGGACATAGGCTGCTAATGTGTCTGGAGAAATTAATATTTTCCTATATGTAAAAAGATGTTTTGTGCAAAAGTAAGGTGTAATAAATTTGCACATCATACCCACAGGTAGGTGATGAACAGTCTGACCATTTTACCCTTTGATGGTATTTTTATGACTGCAGAATGTAGTCGTTTACAAAGAAATTTGCATCAAAGAAGTTTTTAATTAAGTGAAATATAAATTTTATCTACATATGCCTTCTCATTAAGTCATAATGACTTTGATATTGAGAGAATGAAATTAATTTTAGAAATGTGGGATATACAGTAGTTTCAGGAGCATTTGATTATGCAAATATAAAAAATTCATATATGCATTGCATCATAATTCTTCAGTGTTGTCTACTTTATTATATTAATAGTCTCTTTCACATCTGACAATATTCACAGTCGTTTGAGGTGATAAAAGCATTGGAAAGTTTAACACTGGTGCTAGGTTTTAGTTCATTTCAGGTGAAACAACAAAAGATGTTGAGCAAATAAAAAGAAGTGCAGTTATTATTCTGCTTCTGTCACATTTACAATGCAACAAATATAGCTGTTACCTTTGGTTATCAAACATCCTTCTGTGTAGCTGAGTGCTAGAATTTGGAAAAAGAATCCCTTGTTTGCATTGTAAAAGTCCCCTGACATTTTTCCTCTTTTTATATCATTTCACTGTTAATATTATTGAGTGATCTGACACTTCCAGTTCGAAAACTTTTCCTGCGCACGCTCCGAAGGTAATTTCGATAAAGGATTACACTGATGACTCTTGCCTGGAATTGTTTGGAAACAATGTAGTACAGTATAACATCCAAGCACGTGCTGAGATTCATGAGGAAGGTGGTAAAGGCTGCCCAGGGATTGTAACTTGTATTTTCATCTTGAAGCATCAGAAAGGCAAAGCAGATGTGGAAGGGTACAAAGCAGATGAGTACCTGAGCAATCAGAGTAACTATAATTCTTATGGATCTCTCCTTGGCCTTAGGCTTCAGTTTGGAAGTCTTGCCATGAATAAAATTATAAATAATGACTAGGTAACACCCCATCATGATAAACAAGGGGATCAGAAAGAAAAAAATCAAGCGACAAAAATTCAGTGTATTTACTTCCTTTAAATGGATGATATCAAGCATTTTCATGCAGGTGGTGAAATTTGAGGCTTGGTCTGGATCAGATCGTAAAAACACCAACGGGGATGTTGTTGAGAGGGTCATTATCCAGATTCCAGCGCAAGCCAGCACAGCTTTTTTTGTATTTTTGAGTTCTTTGACATGTTTGGGCTGGACAATAGCCATGAATCTGTCCACGCTGATGAAAGCGAGCAGCCACAGAGCAATGGCTGGGTAAAACACGGTGAAAGCCCCGAGGATCCGGCACAAGGTATCTCCAAAAGGCCACGCTTCCGTCCCGTGGTAGATTATCCGGAAAGGCAGCGAAAAGATAAAAACCAGGTCAAGCAATGCGACGTTCATCATATAAACAGTTATAGTTGTTCTCTTCTTGGTCGTGCAGCTGAACACCCACAGTGCAGTGGCATTCACCAGCAATCCCACTGTGAACACAAAGCTGTAGAAGACCAGTGATGCAATCCTGTATTCTTCTGGGTGGGAGTTTTCTGGCGTCATAGTTTAATTGAACTCAGGAATAGTTGTTGCACTCCATAAATCCCCTAAAATTAGATAAAATATGGGAAGTTATTGTCAGACAAAATCTGTCTTTAAAAACAAACAGGAAGAAACATCCTAAAAACAAACATCCTTGTTTTTGGATGGTGTTTAGTGATGAAACTATTGTTTAACTCTGAAATGTGCTAGTTTTGTTGCTTTTTCTGACTGCAAATATATTATCATCCTCTGAGGGAAACATATGTATTGTCAGACTTGTGAAAATAGTATTTATAAGCATGTTTGAATATAATATCTTTATTGCTTACAGGGCTTTTAATATAAGGAATCAAAAAGTCAAGATTGGCATTTCAGGTGTGCATCAGTAGCTGATAATTGGATTGAAATAGTTGTATTTGAGCTATGACAGGTACTTTCTAAAGAAAATATTTCTTCAAGCTGTCTCTGTTAAAAAAATTCTTGACTAAAACTAGTTATGAATAGAAACAAGTCAGCATGGCATTTAGTGACATTTGGATATGCAAAGAGTATTGACTTTGCCTTTTATCTGTGTAGGACCTACTTAACTCCCAAAAGAGCAGGTGCTTGCTTATTAAAGACACTTAAAAAAACTCTTTGAGTATCTGCATAGCTTCTCATGTTTAATTAGTGTTTAATCCCAGGGCATCAGAACCACCCGCCCAACATATGAGTAAAATTAATAGATTAATAGACTTCCTGTTTAAAAAACTAAAAAGGAGGAAAGCAGCACAGTCTCCAGCCAGGCCATATAGGAACAGTATTTGTCTGGGGGAAAAGTTGCTGTCTGGTAGCCAGCTACCCCAGAGCACAGTTATGTTCCTTCATCCTGCTTCTTGATCATAGGGGTTGGACATCTGAAATGTCCCTGTGCAGGCTGAGGTGATGAGAGGTGTAGGAGAGGGTCCCTGGTTTTCTCTGGAAGATGGCAGACCTTACTTGGTGCTTGCATGAGTGCTTTGTTTAACCTTCACCCCCAGCACTTTCCTGGCCCTTGGTGTGGTCACAGTTTCATGACTTTATGTGGGAGGGTTCCTCTTGTCTGGCCTTTTACCCAGCCCTGTGGCAGCTTTGTGAAGAGGAGGAGGAGGAACAAGTTAGTTGTTTGTCTGATCTTCCCACTTGTGACAAACAGCCAAGGAAGTTCCACAGTATCTGTTAGGCACCAGAACTGTTCTCAAGAGCAGAAGGGTGCCTAGTTCTGTGTGTTTTATCTCCAGAAGTGAAGAATGCATTGAAACCCAGGTTTATTCTTACTGCCCATCTGGTTAATGCTTTCTCTGTAATGTTACCCAGTGTTTCTCAGTGCTACAGGAATGCATAGGGGATTGAACTAGTGTTTATTAATCTGGCATCCTGGTTTGACACTGGCAAATACCAGCTGCATTTGAGAAGATTACCATGGAGTAACTAACTTAAATATGACCTATTAAATCTTTATGTAGGTTAGTTTCTGCTTTGAAATATAAAATTTGGAATTCTAATTTTCTTACAGTTCTTCAGTTTACAGATATAATAAAGTTATGCATAGAAATATTTAACCCTTAACTTTGAGGTCTTTTTTCCAGCTGTACAAAACAAAAAAGGTGTGTTTTGTGCTCAGATGAGGACATTAGAACATGCAACAGAATTTATGTTTTGTTTGGGAAAAGCCATGTACGTAATACAAAAAAGAGGTTTGGGGGGCATCTGTATAAATGCCTCTCAAGTTCCTCATTGTGTGAAGAACCCAAAAAGTAAGAAAAATAAAATAATTAAATAATGCTAGCAAACTTTATTGAAGGTTAGATGGCATATGCTAAAAATGTTGTGCATGTGCTAGCAGCATAGTTAAAATATTATCTGGCACATTGTTCCACTTTCACTATTGTTGCACAAAATTGTCCAAATGTTGCTTAATATACACCTCCCCCTTGCCCTTGCACATTGTAAGTGGGTTTTTTTCCCGTCTTTTGTTCTGTTATTTTTTTTCTCTTGCTAGTGATTGTGTTTGACAGTTCAGAGCTGCTAAGCTCAATATCCTGAGTGATTTGGCAGGTGAATTGGATAGTAATGTATAAGACAGGTAGAATAATTCACTTGAATATTAAGAAACATCATGGATTTTAGTTTTGATTTTGCTCTTGTCTCCTTTGGACTTGCAGTGACTGCAATTAGTTCTGGTCAGATCATATTTTTAAAATAACCAGTAGCCTGATGTTGATGGGAAGAGAGGAAGCTGAATCTGGTGTCATCTACTTTTCATGCCTTGTTTGCTGGTTATTCCAAGTTTGCAGCAGTTTTGAGATATATCGAAGAACTGACTTGCTGTAACAGAAAGGGTTTGTTGTGTTTTTTTTTTTCCTTGGTTTTTGGAGACTGTTTCCCAACTTTGTGAATTTAAATGCATGCCAGTTAATTTTTAAGAACCTAAAATGTAGCATTTATTTAGGTAAGAAATATTGAGATTTTTGAAAAGCATATGTTACCTGTCTGCATTTATACACGATTGGAGATATTTAGCTTTTTCGTTGGTACTTTTCTGCTTGGAGTTCAGGTTGGTACCTCCCAGGTCAGCCCAAGCATATCTTTGGGTGCCTCTGAGTGGATGTTTTTGCCCTGGTTGCCATTTTTCATAATGGGAACATTTACTTACTGGTGTTGATTAGAGCACTTGTTGAAGAGCCCTTGGTTCACTGGTTTCTGGAAGACTTGTCTGTGTTAATTCTGAATGACTACTCTGTTGTTTATCTCTATATTTTATTGATCTTTTAATTTTTTAATGATAACTGACATCCTGAATGTCTAATATGAATTGTGAAGGCCATCTAGGTGCCCTGTACAAGACAAAGATGTTGAGAGCAAAATCACAATTAAATCTTTTCCTTCAGATTCTTAATGTAAGTTAGGTAACAGTGGTTCCATTTAAAGGGCCATGTGTGTATCTCTCTTCCCAATCCCCCTTTTTACTTTGTCCCTTATATTTGGTTTGCAGTTCCCCAAGGATAACATGGCTTTCACTGAAGCACAGAGGCACCAAGTAACATGATCTCCTGCTTTTCATTTCATGAAAACAAGCATTTTTCTTTTAGTGATAAATGTACTTACCAATGTTTTCGTTTATTGCATACTCTTAAAATTTTTGTTAAAATCCTAAAATCCAGTATTTATGGTACTATGCTTTTACAAATGCAATCATTTCTCTTTAAATGCTATTTATAGAATGCTGCTGATATTTTGAAAGTGCATTAAAAATTAAATATCTTTTCATTAGTTTTAGAATTAATGCCCATGTTCTGCTTCTGAACAAAGTCTCTTAGCAACATGTATGAACATCCAAGTTACTTTGTTAGCACAGCATAAGGGATTGTTACTCACCTTTTGTGCTCTACAAAATTTCTTCAGAGATGCTTCTTTCATGGCCCCAAATCTGTAGAAGGTTTAGACTTCCTCTTCTTTGCTCAGCTTCACTTAGCTAAAATAGCTCCTCTTCTCAGGCAGGAAACAATGACGTAATCTCACTAGTGCTGAGCTCTTTTATTGGTCATACTTAAAAGTTACTATTTCACATAGATGGGGTGTGTGTGAACTGGTATTTCTATTACCTTTCAACAGTCAAACGTTTGTAATATTTCCAGTGTGGTCAGACTGGGCTGTTGTACTACATATATTTTCAACTTTTAAATGTTTGTGGTATCATGAAAGCGTATTTTAAAGTTTCCATAAAAAGGTATCTGCAAGAATACACATCTTGGTTATGCATAAGTTTGTAATAAGCACAATGTAAATGTATTTTCAGTAGAGCATAGTCTGGTGGATTTTTTGTGGAAATCCCCATTTTCTTTATATTGCCTTGGATAGCAGTCAATCTGAAAGTGACAGAAAGTCACTGCATTTGAAATGAGAAGTTTGATTCACTTGAATGCACAACTTTGTTTATGCCTGTAATTACAACATTTTATTTACACAGCAGCAATATTTCTATTTTTTATTTGCTGTCTGAATTAATAACATGCTAATTTGAGAGCTTTGCTGAAAAATGCTGTATGAAAAGAGGTTTTAGCCTGTGTTAAAATGGAGTAAAAATCTCTCAGCTGTGTCACTGCAACAGACATCTTAGGTGGCATGGGAGTAGTCACAAAGGTTTATAGGTGGAGAAGACTAACTTCCTGTGTTACCTCTTGTTAGCTTGAGAAACGATCCACCCTTTAGAAGAGCAACTTGGAGAAGGAGCTCATGCCATATTCTCTGTAGAGTGCTTGTTGCTTCAGGTCTCTGGCTGGCAGTCTTTGGGAGGTAGTAGCAGAGAGTTCTGTGTTGAGTAGGGGAGCAATAATGTTTTGGTCTCCACCTGACATGTGGCCAAGAATTTGCCAGGATGTTCACTTGGTGCCAGAAGCAACAAAGCCCTGCAGTTCAGAAATTGCCAGAATCAGGTTTGTTTGTGGGAATGTCTTTCTTCACTGACTGTAAAACTAATGTGGTGAGGTGATCCTCACTTAGTGCTCAATATAACTTCTGGAAAAAGAAACCCCTCTCTACTGTAGTAATGTAATTTATCTCAGCTGAATGGGTTTGTGTTACCATGTAGGTGTCTGCATGGGTCAGTGTGATTGTTAAAGTAATTATAGGGAGGGACCTGGGCATGATTTTTGGTGTGTAGATAACCTTTAAATATTTAGGGTTTTTTCTGTTCAGGGGAATTAATATGAAACTTGTTCTTTTATGATCATTCCAAAGGCCTTTTCAATGCAGTGAGCTGAAAATCCTGCCCAGATCACCCTAGGGAAATATAAATTTATTTAAAAGCACTTAATATTTTAGGACTAAGGTGTATCTTAAAAGGGCTAACCAGTGCTGAAAACTCTTCAGTGGCTTTATCATTAGTAAAGCAGCTCCAGAGCATGCTTCAGCAGAACAAAGCACTGTTTTCAACTGTTCAGTGAAATTCAGTGCCATATGTCTATCTTGTGGAAGAGAAGAACTGGACTTTTGCACTCTCCTGGGCAAGAGTACTTTATTTTGGGTAAAAATACAGAATTGTGGAGGCACCTTCTAAGCTGAACTGCTCTGTGAATGCAGTTTATGCATTTATGTTTATGCCAGAACAGGCAAGTGGACAGCCAGTGCCTCCCCTAGCAAAAGAGGAAGTACAAAAGTGATTCTGGGTTTAACAGGAGGCAGGCAGATGTTGAGTTTGGGATCAGAGAACCCATATGCTCTGAGTTGTCTCTAAGCTTGTTGTCTGCTTGGGGGAGGGTGGAAAGTGTGACCTCTTGTAGCTGTGTCATTTTGTCTGGAGGGTGGCTGATGTTCTGACCCTGCAAGGGAGGTCATGCCTTGTGAGGGCAGCTGAGATCAAATCCCACAGTTTACACAGGTGGCCAGCAGCAGCCCAGTTGAGCTTGCTGGCAGGTTAGCCATGCATCTGGTTTGCTGCAGCATGTCAGTGTGTGTTCTGCTTTCACTCAGGCTTTTCACAGCCTTCCTGGTGGAGAAGAGGCAGCCAAACCTCTTTGCTTGTAGGCTGGCAGGCCTTCCCCCAGGCATGGAGAGGCAGCTGTGTTTGGCAGCAGGAGGCTGAAAAGAGGTGTTTGCAGTACCAGCAGTTGCATACTCCTTGTCTAGGTGCTCAGCTGGCTGCAGCTGCAGGGTGCTAAGCATTTGGAGGTGAACACCCAAGTCAAAAGTTGCACTGCCTGTGGTTTGTGAGGCAGTGGGCTGCTCTGCAGTGCCACATTCCCCTGTTACTTTGGTTTCTGCTGTAGGAAGCACCTGGCTCTATTTTTATTTCCTTTGCTGTTTTATAACTTAGAAATGAGTGCCTTGCATTGGTTTCCCACAGATGGGTGAGTACTTCCTCTGCTCCAGCCTCTACTGAATTAAATGCTCAGTTCCATCTGGGGTCTTCTTTTGCTATTCTGAACTTTGAGCAGTAGACAAGGTAATTTTAGTTGCATTATGTTGTGCTAAAGCTGGTTTTAAGTAGTTAAAAGCTAAGCCAATGTGCTTCCTGTCTGAGGATAGGGCAGAGTGCATGTGGTCTGCCATGGTGTCTTCACTGACTGGTAGTAAGCCTCAGAAGAAATGAGTTTGATCACTTGCAACGACCTCAAAGTGCAGCACTAAAGAGATTGCCTTCATGCTGTTGCTTTTGCAGAATTAATGCGCTGCTGGTTCTTTCAGTGGTTTAGTCATGGTACAGAAAAGTCTGCTTTTCCTGTTCACTTACTGTGTAATGTAAGCTTTGTCCAGCTGATACAGAGAAGTTCTGAACGCAGTGGGACAGTAGGGTTACCCTGTGCCTCAGTTTGGTAGGGAGCTGGCTTGAGCTCATGTTCTTCTTCTCCTTTCAAACTTTCCACCGTTGGGATCTATTGAAAAGAAAGAACTGAAGCTTCTTGCATGGCTCACTGCACCAGTGGTGCAGGAAGCAACTCTCCCATGTCAGTGTGTTAACTTACTGGCTTGCTGTTGTGGGTGAGTTCACATGCACTTTTGGGTTACTGTTCTCAACCTTGATGAAAACTGGCCTCATTTTTTATTCCCATACTGTGTTCACCACAGTGAATACTAAAGAATAAACTACTGGTTAAAAGTTGGCACTGAATGCATAAACTCACTGCAGTTGTTTCCAGTTTTGCTGTGTGTGTTACTCAGAGGCTGTGTTGTGGCACAACTATCCCTCCTCTCCCACTCATGTGTGAGGAGGTATAAATGCAGTGTGCAGCAGAGCTGAAGGAATGGAAAAGGGAGCAGCTTAAGAGAACTGCAGCCTACTTAGCTGTACCTGACATGTCTTATTTACTGTTATAGTGAGCTTTCTCTTCCCTGTTTTGCTAGTACATGCTATGGTTTGAGGAAGGAGATCTTGTTTTTTCCCTTAAAAAAAAAAATCAACATTCCACGTTTCTCCTGGGTAATTTCGGTTTTTCCTACCCCTCCTCCCTTCCCTCCACCCTGTACACCACCTCTTGTACAGCCAAGACACACCCTGTGTCACTAAATAGCCTAAAAATATACAGTGCATCTGGCCTGTAGTTCATCTCTTTATCACTGTCAGTCAGCCTTTGAAAGAAACAATACTTTCCAAATTAATTAAAGTGAAAATTGCATCTCTGAGATGTCTGTGACAGTGGGGTAGTGGGCTGGAGACAGTGGTCTTTTACACACCAGCAATCTCAGAGTGTCCATGGTCTAATATTAGCTCATGGCAAATACCTGCACAGTTCCATGCTCCTTGATGACCCCACGTTGCCTTTGACAAATTCCTGTCTTCTGTTTTTTGGGAAGCAGCTTTCCTAATTCAAAAAGTGCACAATTCTCATGACAGATATTTCACAGTTTTTTAAAACTGGCATGAATGCTCAACTTTTTTATTTTCTTTTCTTAAAGCTGCATTGTCAAGAACTAGTTAGTTCCAGTTTGGAAGTGTCTGGGAGAGGGTTGTTTCCCAATACTCTTTCCTTACTAAGTATATCGTATGTTTTTACTATTAAACTGCTCTTAAAGGTCTCAGGTGCATAAGAAGTATTGTTCTGAAACCTGATATTCCTCCCAGGAATAGAGTTAGTGTTTCACAAGAAATGTCTTATTTGGACTTGCATGTACTCAGATTCCTTTGATGAACTCAAGTGCAGGGGTAGGGAGAGTTGTTCTGACTCCTCCAGAGTTCAGGAGTTTGGACAAGCTCTGTCAGTAACTAGCCCAAGTAGATGTTATCAGAAATTAAACAATTAAAAATTGCTACATAGGCTTTAGCAGAGCAGTGAAGGGTTTAATCAAAAGTACCTGAAGTGAGAGTGAGCTGTGTGAATTAGAATAAGCACTTCAAATTCAAGAGTGCCTTACAGTGTCCTACAGTGATGGTCTCCTAATGCTGCTCTGCCTGCTCCACCTGTCCCTGGCACAGATGAACCAGCAGCAGTGTGTTGGGGTTGTGAAGCCTGGGGTGCTGTGGTGGAGTTGAGGTGACACAGGAGGAACATCAGGATGATAAAGGGGCTGGCATAATCCAGGCTGGGACAAAGCAGCCTGCTGCCTGCTGCACAGCAGTGAATCTGGTTGGTTAGGAGCTCTGCTGGGCAGGTTTGCTTGCTGTGTAGGCTCAGCATTGTCCTTGGAGGGAAATGAAAGAACTGCTGAGTGTGAGTGTGCTCAGTGCTCCAGGACAAGGGCAGCTTGTGCTCTGAGCTGGCTATGGTGGACAGCAGAGCTGGCTGCAAGCAGGTGATTTCAGAGTCACTGTCTTTTAGCTACAGAGCTACGTCCAGTCAGAGGACTCTGTATTTCCCAACTAACTGTTCAACTACAAAAATTATATCTCCTTTACACACACACACACACATGCACATTAAAGGGAAGGGGCTGAAAATCCCAAGCTTTATCATGACAAGAGGCCTAGGAGAGTACGTCAGG